CAGAGGATACTTTCTCGTAAAAATTTACCAAAATATGAGGATATTTTGACTAAATTTAATACATTTTCAGAAAAGAAGAAATAACTGATAGTATTAGTTTTGATTTGTCACAAAAATTTAGAAATTTTGATTCTCACCTTAGCGAATTGTAATGAAAGTTTTTTTTTTTTTTAAATACAATACATAGGCTGAGGAATTTCAATAAAAGTAAGTATCAACGAAGAATGATTAAAATGCATCATTATTATTTTGTACATGCATATATAATTTTCTCGATAAGGCGGCAATTGCTTTGTTCCATGTGCTACGAGCATTTGGTCACCTCCGTTTGCCAACATAAGGTGCCGGTTGATATGCGGGTGGTGCCGGTTGATATGCGGGTGGTGGCGGTAGTTTATAGGACGGTGGAGCACTGGAATAAATAAAATTACAATTAATATAATCATAGGGATAAAATTTGCTTGTTGCAAAAAAAAATTAACTAAAATGTGTTTTTAAGATTATTCCATTAATGATTAATTTCATTTTAGCAATACAATTCACTTAGAAAATGCAATGAAAAATTATTGAAGCAATAAAACGGAAATTACTCAACCGGTGTAGTGATGTTGGAATTACGAATTTTCTAATTCCATATACAGTTCTGGGATTTTCTGAATTTTAAATTTTAAACTTACCAAATAAATAGATTAAAATTAATTAATCAAAAGCTAAATCGATCACAGCCGACAGCTTATTACTTACATATCAGTTTGAAAACTTCGATAACTGCACATATTTACCTTGGTTTGCATCCACATATGCATCCGCCGCCACATCCTCCGCATCCGCCACCACATTTGCACTTGCAGCATCCCTCTTTTTTCAGCCCAGGAAGATAAGCGGCTGAATCCCATGAGTACCTTGGCATAAGCAAGCAATTCATCGAGTTCATCAAGAGTGGGAAAAGGTGAGAAAAATGGTACTAGCCCGGATGGTTCCGGTGCTTTACAACAACAACTGTTGGCTGAGGATGGTAAACTTTGTACGAATATTATCATCAATAATATCTGAAAATGTACGCATAACAAATCAGAAGACTATTTTGTTAACGTATAATTCTTTCATAATTTTTAAAATTACCAATAGTTGTGAGGAATTTACAAAATAAATGTAATCTGATCATCAAATAATGGAAATTTTAATTATTATCCTGTAGATTTATATTTTAATGAGAAACTTCTATTACAAAAAAGAAAGAAAAATCAAACTTCGGAAATAAAATAGGTTAAGGAAATTTTTAAATAATAATTATCTCGTACAATTTATTGCAATAAAAACAAATTCCAAGTAATAATGGATTATTATTTCCAAAAAAAAAGCAAACACATTCATCACCAACGCTATTAGCTGAATAATCATTCCGGAAAATTAAAAGTAAATGAAAAGCATACCGCTATTTTGATTAGCATGTTTGTGATTTGCGATGAATGTACAAAAGATTATTATCCCAAGATTATATTACTTTTAAGTAAAAGTTTAGGATGATAGAAATATCCGTTAAAAAGGAGTTTGAGTACTTATTAAAAGAAATGTAAATGTCTCGAAGATATAGAAAAACTAAATCATG